GATCCTCGTCCAAACTTATATAACATCTCAGGAAATTATTTAAACCTCCAATTCCCTTTTTCTTCATATTTTATGGAGCAGATTGATATGCATAAAAAACTTTATAATGAAGAGTTAAATCTCCTATATGAGCAACCCGAAAATTTAGACGAGAATGAGAATTTACGCCCGGAAAAAATGGAAGTATTTCTTGAAAAATTTTCAAATAATATTCTGGCAACGATTCCAGCTTTGACACCAACAATGCTACAACTCGCTGGAAACTTGTACTTTGAAGATTTTGTAACGACTTCATCAACAAATTCTGGATATCCGAACGAATCTAATGTAAAATTACTGCAATTTCTTTTCCGCCGTTCATGTGATAATGAAACGTTAAACGATCCAATTAGATTGCACGTATTTTGGTGGACAAATTCTGATGCTCTTATTGCTGAACTTGAATTAGCCCAAATGTATCCACCATTCATAGAACTCTTATCTAAAGACGATATAAATAATATCGAGAATGAGCGCTTTGGAATTAATTTAGTAGACCAAGTATGTAAAATTATGCTTGAAAACATCATTAAATTAAAAAATGAAAACGCTGATAATAACATTGCTGAAAATGACTTACGGGAATGGCAACGACAAGTTACTAATGTTTTAACGTTAAGTGCAAATATTGAAATATCTTCAAAATCAAAAGCTCTACAATTTTTACGCATCTGTAATGATTTAATTTCAACAAAACTTATCAACATTTCGGATATAGTTGATGCCATTAATATTAAACGTGAACCTGATCCAGACAACCAAGAACTTGATCCAGATTATCAGGAACTTGGTTCGGATAACCAAGAGCTTGGTTCAGATAACAAAGAGCCTGGTTCAGACAACCAAGAACCTGATTTTGATAACCAAGAACCTGATTCTGATAACCAAGGCCCTAATCACGAAATAGAGCTCGATTTAGATAATCTGGAAAATGTACTTTCCCAAGAATTTATTGATCGTGTGTTGGAACTTTTTGACAATATTCAGTCTACAGAGAGAGTCATAACGTCAAAATGTTCGTTCTTTCGACGATGTTTTGATATTATTCCATTCGATTCACCAGTACGTACTCACCTTTATAAAATAATTTTTGGACGAAAGCCAGGTGCGCTCATTGGTTCTATTATATCACAAATTTTATTATCAGAGGAAGACTTTCAGCCAGGAATTTTTATTCAATTAATGCAAAATGCAAGAGCAATTATAAATCGTTCTCCAAATTTGACTGCTATTAATACCGCTCTTAAAGAAAATGGAGTTGATTCACCAATTATGGCTTTATGTTGTGATGTAATACAAAATGACTTTTTTGCAAAATGGGATATTAATGACCTGATGAAGAGCTACTGTGATGCGATCAACGTTTTATGTAATTCAAATTTCGAACTTTTGCAATTGGTCATTGCTGTCGCTTTACTCAAAGAAATTATAAATTATCTTTGGAGTTCATTAGAATCTATCCAAAAAACGGACACAGAACCTGTGATGTTTAATGATGAAATAGAAAATATTGATAAGGTGATTGATGAAATTAATCTAGCCATGGAACGCCCGTCATTTCTTATTCGTTCACTCAAACTATATTTTCTTCGT